TTCTGTTGATGTCAGCTGCTAAAAAGATGAAAAGTTAAAAACGCAAGCGTCAACCGAGTCCAATGCCATTCAATAGAAAACTGGTCTGTCAGACAAGGAGCCCTACCAAGACACTTATGAAAACAAAAAAGCTAATTAACAATTATATTTAAAACAAAGAAAACATTATATTTCAAACGGAGGAAAACATTATTTTATTAGTTTGTATTATTATAGAAGAATAAACAACTTTCCTTTTCCTATTATGCTTCCTGTGGGTTTCCCTTTCCTGTGTTGTTATATAGGTTTCTGGTATGTAAATGATCTGCAAAAGGCTAAAATCCCAAGAGTTCCCTCCATTATGAGAGAAATAAAAGACCTTTTAGGAACATTTAAAGGATTATTCATATGTCACAGTAGAGGCACTGAATACAAATAATCGGTGTGAAGATTAGGCATATTAGGGCCCTTTAACACCCGTTACCTGTTTGAAAGGCAAAGAGCAGTGAAGCCTGGTTTTAAGCCGTAAAGGCTTCAGCAGTCACCCAAGACGCGGACAATTGATCACCCTCATGATTGAAGTCCTTCACAGAATCAGAGGAGGAGCAAAACAACAAACACCGCACACCAGAAAAAACACACTCTGCCTTCCCCTGCAGCCCGCTTATGCATTGTGTTGGAGCTGCCTTTGTTTCGCCATTTACAGCCTTAAGGCAGAGTGACAGATAGAGGACGGGAGGTGAGGGATAGATAGATGGGGTTTTGAACAGAGAGAGATGGCCCTGCCATGCTCCACTGGCCAGCTTCAAAGACAGACAGGGCTCAATGTAACAGCTTACTGTGTAATTAGACAGCGCTCGTCACGCACCGAAGTAATTGCCGTATTTGTGTCATATTTAATGCAGCAATGATATTCCCTATGTGGCTTTCCATTGAGACCTAATGAAAAAAGGGAAGCCAAGTGGGGATTTGTACAAATGTAATTACATTCACATCGCCCATCTTCAGATGTAATCACTCGGGCTTAAGTTAAAAGGTGGGGTAGATGATTTTGGAGAAACCAGCTCGAGTGTGCTAGAAATTTGGAAAGATGGAGCAAAAGAAAAA